CAACAAACAATCATATTCTAATAACAAATTTAATGACCCATTAGTAGTGTCTTCACATTGAACTCTTAGTTCTGACATTCTATCAATTTTTTGTAAAGCAATTCCATCACCATTACTTTGTTGAATACATCCACGGAGTACTTTTAAATTAACAGGACTGGCAATATATAAATCTCCTTGAAAAAGAACTGGCAATGCATTTATTTTCATTTTTGTTGAAATACTTTTGAATTTTAAGTTTGGTGAGTTATTATATTTTTTGGTTTTATTAATGAAGAATAAATTTTGTTTTTTTTTTCCTTTATTTAAAAAAATTTAAATAATAAATAAAGTTATGTTATTTATAACTTAAATTTTTCATTAATGAAAGACAAAGAATTAAAATAAAAATGAATAATATTCATATCATTATATTATATATATCAAATTAAATATATTTCTTAATAACCAACAATCAAACAAAGAATAGAAGAAGTTTCAATAAATGGAAGAAAGGAATAATCATTGATAAATTAAGATTTAAAATAGAGTCAAATACTCAATAGATAATAATGTGTAACATTTAATCAAATAATACACATAAATGAATAAGATAAATACAATTAAAATGAATTACATGAAAGAGTCAATTAATATCAATATTCAATTAATACTAAAAAACAAAAATAGAAATAAAAAGAAAGAATACGAGAAGAGTCAAACGGAGAATATTATTGATGGAACATTTGAAAAAAAAACATAAGAAGAAATAAGAGAAATTACAATAAAAGAAATAGATTAACATTTTAGAAAGAAATAGATGGAACAAAGAAATAAAATACAAATAAGAAAGAATAGAATAAAAATGGATGAATGAAAATTAATTATTTTTGATTTTATGAAAATGATTGATTATATGAATAATATATTTTATATTCTTTTTTATTATGTATTGACACTTTTGATTATATGTTTGTATATTATTAATTCTTTAATTTATTCTTCTTTTCTTAGATTTCTTTTATTTCAGTGCATTCTAAAAATATTGTGTCTTTATTATTATTCTTTGAAAGTGAAAAATAATTTTGAAGTATAGAATTATCATATTTATGGAAATGTTGTTTTATTTAATCTTTCTGGTTTGTATTAATGTTTCATTTTATTTTTGATTATTATCGTTCCAGTATTTTCATCTTATCTTTATTCGTTTTGTTTTATAACATCCTTCTTTGATTAATTTAAATACCATAAATTAAAAGAAGAGAAGTTGTTGAATATAATGTAGAAATATTTCAATTGTGTTAATTCGTTCATTCATAATTCAAATAAAAGACATCAATAACCATTAATAATTAATCATATGAGCAATAACAACCCCAACACAATCAAAATGAAAGATAATATGAATTACTTATATAATATGTGCTATTTTCATAATACAAAATCACAAAAATAATTCAACACCATATAACACAAAATAATGAATAAAATCACTCAACAATTTTCATATTATATCATCTCAAAAAATGAAAATATGATTCATCATATTTCATTAATGAGACTAATGTTGCTAAAGTCAGAAAATAACAAAAAAAAAGATAATTATATATTGTTATTAATAAAAATAGAACATTAAAATTATTTTAAGAATATAAAAAAACTAAAAATTAATTTTCAGATTCATGTCATCAACACAAACACCAGGTGAACTTGAAACAGTTAGAAAATATATAACACCAAGTCTGAAAGAATACAAAGGGTTTTCAGTTCCTGATATTCAACAATCAACACCAAGTAATAACAAAAACAAACCACACATAATAACACCAAGTGGGGAAATAGTTGATATAAATTATATTGTTGATGCTAAAAATGTACCACATAACTTATCAGCTATTCCATCTCGACCACAACCTGATAATTATTCTACATTTGAAGAATATGATGCTGCTTGGATAGAATGGAAAAATAAAACAAATGCCTTTGCATCATATTACAGACTACCAAAACCTATTGGTTCTGAGCTTTATGTTCCATCTACAAGTAATCTCCCATTAACTAAAGACCCATGGGATTCAATTCTTATTCCATCTGAACCAAGTGTTGCAGATTTTGATTCATATGAATCATATAGAAGTGCTGTAGAACGATGGATTAAAGAAGTTTCAAGTGCAGGGTTTCTTCCACCACACGCATCAGAAATTGAAGCGGCATTAATGGTAAAGATGTCAACAGAAAGAAAGTCAGATGTAGCACAATTAACAGAAATTATGTCAGCTGAGTATGAAGGATTTCATGAAGAGCACTTATTTACACAAACAACTGATTGTTTTAATATTTCTAATTGTGCTAAACAACCAGTTCGTAAAAGTTATATTGCTAATTCTAAATTTAAAGATGAGCTAAGAGGTGCATTAGCATTATCTAAATTAGAAAATACTTTTGTTGTTCCTGAGAAACAATTTAATGAACCACAAGACGTTCTTGTTGCACAAGCAGTTGGTATTTCATTAATGAATATCCTTACAAGAAAAGCTCAAAATAAAGAGGAAAAAACAGCTAAAGATGAATTATTGTTTAAAGCAAATAAGGCTTCTTCTATATTTGATGTTATTGTTGAAGCAGCTAGATTAAGTGAAAAGAATCCTAATAAGTGTTCATCAAAGAAAGATGAAAATGTTACTATTGCCATTAATACAGTGAAAAATGAACGACCTGCATTTAATGCAATGTATAAATTATTATTCTTCCCAATGAGTGTTAATGACTTTAATGTTGTGTTAGATACAGGTATAGAAGGAAGAACAATTAGAGATATATTTAAAGAATGTTTAAATTCACCAAATATTATTTGGTTCTTTAAATTTTCATTACAAACTATTTGTCCATTTACTCTTGCTAAATTAGCTTCATTTGGTAAAGAAGTACTTCTTCATTATGGTAAAACTCCCATTGCACAATTTATTATTGGAAATAAAGAACTTTCCATGAATGAAAAACTTGAAACATTATATGCTGCTTCAAGACTTGTTGCATATGGAAGTTATGAGGTTTTTGAATTACACTTTGATTTAATAGAACAAATGAAACAACTTATCCCATGTGGAGATACTATTGAAATGATTCATATGACATATTACCTTTCTCTCATTGCAAATAGTACATCTAAAGAATCAAATTTAAAAGACCTTGTTAAAAGTAGTGTTACAATGTTGTCACAAAAAGATAGTGATATATTAAAATTATTTAGTGATATTCCTGAAGCAATGAAAGTACCAGAAATTGCACCATTAGCTATGTTCTGTTTACAACAAATAATTGGAATGGGAGATGTACAAGTAATGAGATACTTACAAACATTAAAACGATTTAGTACAACAGATGTTATTCAAAGAATTATCAAAACAGAATATTATTATTCTAGTTATTGTGCCCATTTAGTTCTTCAAAAAATTATGTGTACAAAAGATTGTCGTTGTCAATTACTTGAACAACTTACTTCTCGTGATTCATTGTCTTCATTTAAATTAATGATAAATTCAAGAACTCCTGATGAATTTATTCAAATGATTTGTCAAGTAGTAAGATTTGCAATTAAAGAGTGTGCAAGAATTACAAGTAATGATGCTTTTTGGAAAGGATTTACTGGTGATTATTTCTTTGCAGATATTTGTTTACCAATGTTAAAAGAAGCTGTAGATACTGATAATGAAATGTTTATGAAAGAAATAATTAGTGTAATTAAAACATTATTAAAACAAAGTCTTCTTAATGATAAACTTGGAAGTAATTGTACAGGTACATCTGAAAAATTTGAGTCACTTGAAGTATCATCAGGAAGTCTTGATAATATTATACAAATTGTTAATAAGATTGTAACTGATCCAACTATGAAAAAGTATCATAATAAAACATTATTTGCTCATTTGATTGATTGCCTTAAATATATTTATTCTGTTAAAGAACAATGTGAATTACTTTCAGATAATAAACGATTATTTGTTAATGTAGCTATTTCTTCTTCTGTTCGTGATATGAAAGAAAAAATAGAACCAAAATTATTAAATTCAATTTTAGATATGTATGCTACTATTTTAAGAGTACTTGGACAACATCCACCAAAAGAGCCTACTCCAAACCAACCATTAACTAGTGATGAAATAGCTAAACAAGGACAAATGCAAGATTTCTTTGATAAATTATTTACTGCAGTTATTAGAATGAAAAGTAAATCAAGTAATACTAGTAAATTATGGAATTATGTAAGTTTCTATGCTAAAGAAGCTAGTGTTTATCATTGTAAAGTTATATTACGTTTTGTCTTTAATTTAATTCAAATTGCATTTACTTCACAACATAAATTACTTACTGATAATATTAAACGATTCTTAGCTGAAACTATGTTTGAAGAAACTACTGCACTTAAAATGTTAATGCAACAAGTTGGTAATACTGATATTACTGCAAGAGATATTATGTCATACAAGAAAGGATATAATTGTATTTCTTATCCAAGTGTTATGAGTGTAGCTGGAATCATTTCTGTTTATCAAATTAATAAAAAATTAGTAAAAAAATTAGGAGAAGGAAAAAATCAATACGTAGACATTGTTGCAGAAACAGGAAAGAAAGCTGTTGATTCTAAATCATTAATTCTTTCTGTTGAAGAAACAAACAAAATTAGAAAATTATTTGTTTGTGGTAATGGTAAAAGAATTGACTCATTCATTGAAACAACACAAAAAGAATAAATGAATTGAAGAAAATTCATTAAAACTATTTTTTTAATTCTTTTTATAGTAGTAAAAGAAAATATAAAAGAACAATTAATTGGTATGAAGAATTACATTTCAAAAGCAACTTTTTATAAATAGCAACAATTAAACAAAATATTTTAAGTATTAACAATAACATCAATTGTATTAATAGGAAACTTTTGACTTTTTGAACCTCCAAATAACATTAATTCAAATTAGAATAATGAACAATTTACTCTATTCACAACAAGGTTGAAATAGAGACTAATTATTTCCTTCATTTGAAGTACCATAAAGAAGTGAAGAAAGAAATTCATTTTTAGAAGAAAGTCGAAAAGCCATTCCGGTAGAAGCAGTTCTATGATATAAGTAATTAATAATTTTTATTCCACGTTCAAATATTGTTTTAATATTAAGAAGAAGTTTATTATTATAGTATATTGCTGTAACATTCTCTAATTTAAGAACTCCTTTTTTCCCTTCAACATATTTAGACTTAAAGAGATATCCATATTCTCTTAATATATCAATTAATAAATGAATTGTTTCAATACGTTTATAACTTTGTATTCTTCTAGTAGCTGTTCTTACATTTGAGTTCATTTTAATTTCATGTTCTTTCCTTTCATTACATCTATTATTAATAAATATAGAGACATTAATAGAATCTCCTTGGCTAAAATTAACTCTTATTACTTTAATAAATTGTTGAGTAACAAGACATTTCTTACTTGGCTTATTTATTTCTATAGTACAATGTTGTGCAATTAATGCAATAAGAATACCTTCTACAGCACATTGATAATTAGTTGCTTTGTATGACTTCTTTACTTCATAATTCTCTTTAATTTTATGATTTGGTGAACTTGCTTTCATCTTAAACACTTAACACTTTAAAATACTTTAAAGTTCATTGATTCTTTGAATTCTAAATTATGTATAGTCTTCAATCTCTTTTTTTTCATACAATTTCTTCATTTGAATATCTTTTTTGCTGGTTTTTTATGATTTTTTCCATCAAAAAAACAAAACCGTGATGTGTCGTCACGTGATTTGTTAGATATTCCTTTTTTAGACTTTTTCAATTTTTTGGAGTTGTTAAATATATTTTGTTTTATATTACAAAATATAATATTAAAATAAATAAAAAAGTTCAAAATTATTATTCAATTCCACAATCCTCTTAAGAATTCAACAAATTTAGCAAAAAATGATTGGTATTGGATAAAAATAAGATTGGTCTTTGATGCTTGGCTGATACGTTGAAGATTCATGAAAGTTGGAATGTCAAGAGTTTCACATGGCTTGCCGTCAATAATTATTCTTCTCATTAATAATAAATCTCTTGCACTTTCTCTTGAAACAAATTTAATTTTTACTCCAAACTCTCCAGCATCTTCAATCCCAATAACCTTACCATAAGGTTGAATTGCTTCAAGAATCTCTGGTGTTTGTTTCATAGAACAATCACGAAGAATGACAGAATCTTCTTCATTAATATTTTGTGGTAATGCACCAAATGTAGAATTAGAATTAAATGTATTTAAAAAATCGTTTTGTTTTATAGAGTATGACTTTCTTGGCTGGGGTGTTCTTAATACACTTTGTTTTTGTCTTGCAATATCATCTAATAAAGACATTCTAGGTACATCTGATTGAAAATCATAATGGTTTGATTGCTCATTAAAATTTGGTTGAAATAAAGGTGTTCCAAATGATGTACGATTTCCATGTGTTGATACCTTCATTTATTTTTCTTATTATTTTTTTTGATTATTCTTTTATTATTTTCAAGTTCTTTTTTATTTTTTCTTTTTTAAAAAAAACCCTGTCTTTTTTTTGTAATAAATAACAATATTAGTTTGAACTAATAAAACTTTCTTGTTCTTCAGTTGACTCAAAAGGAGAGGTTATTGGTTGAATGAACATCTCATTTTCAAAAGACCGTTTCATTGGCTTTGTACATAATTCATTATTTTGAGTAATCCTTTTGAAAAAGTAGTCTCTTTGTTGTTGTTTAATATTATTTGTATTAACATAAATTCCCTGATGAAGTATAATATCATCTTGTTCAGAAAATTCATCCATAAGATGAGGGATAGTAACTTCAGGATAATTGAATAATAAAAGATTAATAGTGTTATTATTATCAAAAAATTGGTCATGATTTGGTTCTTCTTCCATAATTTATTATTAATAAGTTCTCTTACCAAAACAAAAAGAACAATAAAGAAAGAATTAATTTGGTTGAAGTAAACGAAGATATGTGATTTTATCAGGAAGAACATAAGGGGTATAATACTCATAATCAAATTGTTGAATAAATGGTCTAGTTTTACGATACTTTGAACCATATTTCTCTTCATTTCTTTCTATTACAGTTATATTCTTTCCAGTTGGATACCACATTTTTGTTAATAAACTTACACAATTTACACAAATTGGAATTTCTTGTGGATTTATTTTATTTCTCATACAAACACTGACATTAATTTCCCCTATTCCTAGAGACTCAACTCCATTTCCAATTAATGGGAACCAATCAGTCATTTCTACTCCCATTGGAAGATATTGTAATTCAATATTAGCATATCCATATACAGTTTCATTAAAAGTATGTGATTGGAATACTTTAATAAGAACATTCATTCTATTCTTTGTATTTCCAGTTAAAGTAATTTCATGAATTGGTAATTGTGGTTCAAGAGATGGAGTTTGACTCTTAATAACATAATGTTTTTGCCCTTGTGCATCATTTGTTGTTGTATAATCATCAACAAGGAATGAAAGTACTGGTTCTTTTCCTTCAATTAATGGGATACCACGTGCTGAGTTAATTTTGATAATAATATCTAATGGTTCACTTGAAGTAGCATAAAACGGTATTCTTTGTTGAGGAGGACGAGGGTCAACATAAGAAATTTGGTTATTGAAGAGATTAATAAAACACCATTCATTTTGATAATAATACATAACATATCCTTGAGGAAGAACAACGCTTCTCCAATTTGGATAAGGGAATGGTGGTTGTTGTTCACCTCCTTGTAATGTTAACATAGTTGTACGATTAATATGGTCAACAAAGAAATGGTCAGAAGTACTATCTTTTAAACTTACTTCTTCAATTCCATTAGCAAAAGGAATATTTAATGGAGGAGGAGGATGAACACCTTGGAATGGAATTCTAAAATCATTTGTTCTATCAATAACATTAACAGGGTATTTATTTATGGCATCAAATAAAACTTGTGGATTAGATGGAGGTTCAGGTGAAATAATAATAGGAGACATTAATTGATATTGTTTTGGTCCAACTTTTACTAATAATAAAACGCTATACTTTACTGTTGCACTTGGATGATCTGAAGTTGGGAATAACCCAGGTGGTATAACTTCACGAATTGTTTCATTCACTTCATTAGAAATATTCTTTTTAAAAATAGAAAGAAATGTATTTTTAGAAGGAATTGTTTCCAATTTATATTTCTTTAATACTATAGGAATTGAATTTTGAAATTCAACTAATAGTTTTAAAGATGGTTCAAGATCATATTTGGACTTATTTAATATATGAAAGCTAAAAGAAAGTTCATCACCAATTTTTAAACAAGTACTTTTAAAATTTAATTCCATATCTACATCACTGTTAGTTGGAACTGTTATTTTTGTTGGTTGTCCAACGACATATTTTGGTTCTTTATTGAATAAAATGTAATAAGGAACAACATTTGTTCTTACAAGTTCTGGATAATTAATGGAAATTATTGCTGAAACAGTATAATAAAGTGATTGAGATAAACTAGGGTCATTCACAGAATGTGGGAAATTCTTAAGAGGAATACAAAATGGAAATAAATGTTTACCAGGATGATATTCGTAAAAAACATTTCCCATTACTTGATAATCACCAACAATATCTTGTGTATATGTCCAAAATGGTTGTACGTGTCTTGTCATAGAATTATCAACACTTGGTCTATAAGCCCTTCCCACAATCGGTGGAAATGGAATATTAAATTTAGAGTCTGTATTAGTTGACACAAGTCCAGTTAATGTAATTTTTATACTTTTAATTACACACATTCTTACTGCTTCAAATTCAATAACTCCACATAAATTATCAGGTAAAATAATTACATCCGTATGTAATATTAAACGAGCAGATGCTTTTGTTTTGGATGATGACATGTATTATCAAATAGGAGTTTTAGTTTTTTCTGTTAGTTTTTTATGAATTTTCTCATTTTTATTTGTCACTTCATCGCAGATTTTAGAAATATTTAAGAAAAATTAACAGAAAAATTTAAGAAACAAAAAGAGTCTCATTAATGAAATATGATGAATCATATTTTCATTTTTTGAGATGATATAATATGAAAATTGTTGAGTGATTTTATTCATTATTTTGTGTTATATGGTGTTGAATTATTTTTGTGATTTTGTATTATGAAAATAGCACATATTATATAAGTAATTCATATTATCTTTCATTTTGATTGTGTTGGGGTTGTTATTGCTCATATGATTAATTATTAATGGTTATTGATGTCTTTTATTTGAATTATGAATGAACGAATTAACACAATTGAAATATTTCTACATTATATTCAACAACTTCTCTTCTTTTAATTTATGGTATTTAAATTAATCAAAGAAGGATGTTATAAAACAAAACGAATAAAGATAAGATGAAAATACTGGAACGATAATAATCAAAAATAAAATGAAACATTAATACAAACCAGAAAGATTAAATAAAACAACATTTCCATAAATATGATAATTCTATACTTCAAAATTATTTTTCACTTTCAAAGAATAATAATAAAGACACAATATTTTTAGAATGCACTGAAATAAAAGAAATCTAAGAAAAGAAGAATAAATTAAAGAATTAATAATATACAAACATATAATCAAAAGTGTCAATACATAATAAAAAAGAATATAAAATATATTATTCATATAATCAATCATTTTCATAAAATCAAAAATAATTAATTTTCATTCATCCATTTTTATTCTATTCTTTCTTATTTGTATTTTATTTCTTTGTTCCATGAAAAAAAGATGCATTACAGGAGACACCACAAAAAATATAGAAAAACAAATAATCAAAAAAGAAGAAATTCATATCATCCAAGAAATATAAATGATAGAAGAATGAGTGAAAATAGGTATTATCTGTATGGACAGATATACATGAATAATTACAATAATAATTACAATAATAATTATAACAATAATTATCACAACATAGATGATACAAATCGTTTCACTCATCACTTCAATCATAATCATCGTCATAAATACTTTAATAAAAATTTCAATAGAAATAAACAATATCAATATAATAGAAATAAATATCACAATAACACTCAAAGAAGATATAAACAATATCAAAATAAGAAACAAAATAGAAATAAAAGAAAAGAAATGATTAAAATACAAAACCAAGAATAATGGAAAAGACTCATTGAAGAAGAAATTAAAATACTTACACCACAAGAAGTAGAAGAAATTAAAAATACTAAGATTAAAGAATATACATCATCAACAATATGGAGAAGATGGTATTTTCTTGCACGAGAAAAAACCAAAACAATCAGAATGGAAGAAGAGACTATTAGTATGACGATGGAAGAAGACAATAACCAATACAACCCAATTGAGATTAAAGATAATAAAATATATAATAACTATGTAATGAGTATTGAAAGTGAAGAAGACGATGATAAAGATTTTAATAAAAAAAGAAGGATATTGAAGAAGAGAAAAGAGTAGAAGAAATAGAAAAAAGTGGAGGAGGATATGAAAGAGAAAGAAGAAATGAAAAAGGAAATACAAATAAAAGAATAAATCATTAAGAAACTAACTAAAGATATTATGGCATTAAAGAATATTCATAAGAATGAGTTAAACACAAAATAAGAATGTGATAAAAGAATATTTAAATTCCCTGCTGAATATGAAAGGAAAATGTCTGAAGTAAATAATTTAACACAACAATTAATATTCTTGAAAGATAAATTATCTAAATTAGAAAATGAAAATACACAGGAAGAAAAGAAGAAAGATGAGGTAAATGACAATATAACAGACTCATCAGAAACACAAATAGTAAATGACCTCTCAACCAATGTGGTAGTAGCTGATGAAATATCATCGTGTGAAGATGATCTTCCAAAAAAAAAAGAAAGTTAACGCAGAAATCCATTGAAGAAATGGATATTCAGCATAAGAAGATCACCACATTAGAATCAGATAATCAAAAAATGAAGCAAATAGATAGAGAAGAAGAAATTTTAACACTTTATAAATGTTTTGTTTTGAAATTATTTGAAAGAAAATTAAGAGGTCAAACTTAAAGAAGAAATAATAGAAAGATTAATACATGAATTTGGAATTAAAGTAAATGATATTAATGAATATAAAGAAATAATAAAGAAGACATTTAAAATAAAGAATGAAATTAAAAGAGAAATAAATAGAATAATGGAAGAAGAAATAATAAAACATCAATGGAAAGATAATGAATTAAAAGAAATAATAACTAAAATGAACAAGAAAGAAGAAATAGAAGAAGAGGAGGTAATGAAAATATTTAAAGAAGAAGAAATGAAAGAACAAGAAGATGTACAATTTATTAACTATTATTACAATAAGAAGAAAATACATCAAATAATTAATATTATTAATAAAAATGAAATAATAATCAATACATTAGATTATTACTACCATTATATTAAATCAGTATCTTCCACTATTAACATCATTAATAAAAATAAACAAGAAAGAAGTGGAAAGAAAAGTATAGAAAGAATATTACAATCAAAAATATGTAGAATAAGAGATTTACTCCATAATAAACAATATATGAAATTAAAAAGAATATTACATATTAAGAAAAATGATATATACCATATTAAAATAAAAACAATTGAACAAATAAACTATTATAAATACCTCCAAAAGATGAAAAGAATAGAAATAGAAGCAAGAAAGAATAATTGGAAAAGAATAAGATTGAATTATAAAATGATGAAATATGGAAAAAGGCAACATTTAAATAAATCTAAAGAAGATGAATATCCAGATAATATCTCCACTATTAATTTCTGGAAATGAATCTATGAAACTAATACCAATATAGATTTCCTGAATATTAATTTATATGAAATATTAAATGAAAATAGAATTAATAATAGAATGGCAATAATCACTCCCAATGAATTAGATTGTGCTATTAAATTCATTGATAATTTGAAAGTAAAATGAAATTGATAAAATACAAGGATTTTGGATTAAACATTTAGAACAACCAATGAAATATTTATTAAAATTATTTAATGAATGGTTAAATAATCCTAATGAAATACATATTCATTTTATTCAAGGAAGAACAATATTAATATATAAGAAAGGAGATAAATTAGACCCACAGAATTACAAACCAATAACTTGTTTAAATTGTCTGTTAAAAGTGTATACATCAATATTAAAGATGAAAATAGAAAGCAAATTGATGTTAAATCCAATTGAAAAACAACTTTCATTAAATCAAATTGGATGTAAGAAATACACATATGCATCAAAAGAATGATTATTATACAACACTATAATCCAACAATTATTATTAAAGACTAAATGGAAGTGGGTAGAAAGATATTATGACGTCTCTAAAGCATATGATAGTATTAACCACCAATGGATTAAACAATGTTTAATTTATTTTAATATCCCACTTGTAGTAATTAATAGTATATTATACATATTAAATAATACATATCTTAACTTGTATTACAATCAAGAAAGTGTAAGTATAGTTAATGTAGAAAGAGGAATAATACAAGGTGACAGTTTATCTCCACTCTTATTTGTATTATCTATTGATATATTATCTAAACATTTAGATAAACAAATAAGCAAATTAAATATTAAAATGAATGGAGAAGAAAAACAATTCATGTTAAACCACATATTATATATGGACGATTTAAAGATAATGACTAATAGCCTCGATGAAATGGAAATCACACAAATTAACTAAAGAAATATTTAATTGAATATGATTAAAAATTAATGTAGAAAAGAGTGGGATAATGAATAATATTAATAGTCAAATAAATGGAGAATTAGCTGAACTACCAAGAGTAACTAATGATAATCCTTATAAATGTCTTGGTATAAAAATAGGAGATAAAGTAAATATCAACAAATACTGTACAAGAATATTAAATGATGTATCTTCTATTTTATCATCATTAAATACTATGAAATATAGCATTCTCAATACAATAAGAAAGATTAATAGTGATATAATCTCAAAATTAAGATATGGATTTTGTATTGTCAAATGGAAGTTAGGAGAATTGGAGAAGATAGATAAACAGATAAGAAAATCATTGATACAACTCCAATTATACAGTAGAAATATCCCAAAAAGTAGATTATATGTTAAAATAAATGAAATGGGATTAGGATTAATGTCATCAAGAGATGAATGCGCTAAAGAATTATTAAGAATATATTTAAAATATAAATATCAAACACAAGAATAGGAGAAATGATAGAAACAATAAAAGAAAATCCAAATTGAATAATTAAAAGAATGAAGAAAGCATTTTGTAAGAATATTAATTTTAATGAATTAATGAATGTAATAGAATTAAATGAAAGAAAGCACAATGTAAAAAGTATTTGAATTTGTAAATAATGAATTAAATGATATATACTTAAATGAATGGAAAGAAAAGAAATGTGGTGAATATATAAGATGTGCAAATGGCACTTTCAATGATAAGAAATTAACAGTAGCCACATGGAGGTCATTAAACATAAAAAGAAATGCATTCCTCCAAATAGTAAAGATGCAAGAAGGTGTAAGTATGAAATGAAGTATTAAATCAAAAATACTCCAAAATGATGTTTTAAAATATTGTAAACATTGCCCTAACACAATAGCATCTATTAGTCATATCTTGTTAGGATGTCTTGTAATGAAAAAGAATCAAATATTAAAACATGATTATGTTTAAACAAATATTTAAACACTTATTAATTACCCATTTTAATGAATTTGATTCAATTGATTTTAATAATACTCCAAAATGTATTAATAATGATAAAATAGTCATAACTTACAATATTGATTTATTGGTTAGTGATAATTCATTCCATGCTAGAAA